AGCTGTGGGTTGAAGCAGCCACAGCTGCCCCCTGCCACCGGTGGGGATGCGCCAAGGGGTGCTATGGGGTCTGAGCCCACCTTACACACCTTTCCCCCCCGCAGGCCCTGCAGCTGGGGACAGTGCTGGTGGGATCCCCCACGCAGGACGGGACCATCTCCATCCTCACCACCTCGGCGGAGGCGGACGAGCCCCACAGGGTGCAGTTCCCAGCTCCCTGCCACAGCAGCCCTCTGAGCCCAGGGCAGCCTCGCTGGGCCAACTACGTCAAGGGCGTCATCCAGCACTACCGGGGTAAGGCCCAGGCTGCCGGCTGGGTTAGAACCCCACTCACATGGGGTCAGGGCTCAGCACCCGGGTTTTGGTGTGCTCCAGGGGCTCTTCCATGGCCAGCACAATCCTGCAGCTGCTGCCAGGGCCACGCTCCAGTAGAGACACGTTCAGCTCCAAAGATCCCCATGTTTGCGGGCAGCATGCCCGAGTCACACTCTGATGTGCATTTGAAAATGGGATAGCTGTCTATCTCTCTGGCCTTTCAATACTTAAAGGGACCCTGTAAGAAAGATGGGGATGGACTTTTTAGTAGGGCCTGTTGTCACAAGATAAGGTGTGATGATTTTAAACTGAATGAGGAGAGATTTAGGCTAGAGATAATGAAGACAGTTTTGACACTGAGGGTGGTGAGCCCCTGCCCCAGGTGGACCAGAGAGGTGGTCACGGCCCCATCCCTGGAACCATTCCAGGGGAGGTTGGACTGGGCTCTGAGATGCCACTGCTCAGTGCAGGGGGCTTGGAAGATGACCTTTAAAGGTCTTTTCCAACTCAAAGCTTTCTATGATTCTGTGATATTGGACAGGGGCTCCTCTCCATCCGTTCCACGTGAGCTGTGCCACAGGGCTCTGTCAGGGCTCACAGCCCCTCTCCTCCCTTCTCTTTCTGCAGGTGGTCCTGTGCCGGGCTTCAGCGCCGTGATAGCCAGTGACATCCCCCTGGGCGGGGGCCTCTCCAGCTCGGCTGCTCTGGAGGTGGCTACTTACACCTTCCTCCAGCAGCTCTGCCCTGGTAAGGCAATCCTGGCCTCTGGCACCTCCATTCCTGAGTGGGAGCTGGGATGAGGAGAGTGTCCTTAGCAAGATCCCTCAGCCCTCAGGGAAACGCCACTGTGGGGTGGGTCACAGCCCCCTGACATGCTGTCACTGCTGTGCTCCTCTGGCTCACCCGGCCTGATCTGTCTATACCTCTAAAGCCCATGGATCATCCCTGGGGCTGGCTGGGGGGATGAGAGGATGTTCCCTTGGAAGCATCTCCCCACCCTCACGTCCCCAAAAACTGAGAGATCTGAGACACCAGTGTCAAATCATGGCGTCCAGCTGGATCCGGGGACCCACAGATGCCATGTACTGCAGGAGCCAGCGCCTGCAGCTGATGCTTTTGCAAAACCCCATTCCACTGGAGAATGACCCTTGGTCTTCATGTTTGCTCTCCCTGCTCCAGGGCCAGGGGCAAAGGTCCCCGAGCTGCTAACCTGCATCTCTCTGCTCTGGCACAGATGACGGCGACTTGGTAGCCAAGGCGCTGGCCTGCCAGGAAGCAGAGCACACGTTTGCCAGCATGCCCTGCGGGATCATGGACCAGTTCATCTCCGTGATGGGCAAGGAAGGCCACGCGCTGCTTGTTGACTGCAGGTCAGGGCCAAGCCCCAAGCTCGCCGTTGTGGTGCCCACCTCCTTGGGCAGGTGGGGACAAGCTGGTCCCGTGGCCACGAAAAAACGCAGGACTGCTGGGAGGGGTTAACCTCTGAACCCAGGCCAAACCACATTTTGTTTCTTCCTCCTTCATCCTTTCTGCTACTTGCCTGGGCTGTTTTTCCTGCAAAATCGTTAGGATTTATTATGGGACTAGCGACTGGGAATGAGTGAAATGCTCAGGCAAAATCCTAAATCACTTGGGCTCCACCTCTGCAGAAGCAGGAGCTGCCTGCCACGTGGCCTGGTCCAGATGCTGAGGGCTGGAGCAGGCGGCGGGGGAGGGTGCACGGCTCACGCCGAGCTCTCGCTGCAGGTCCCTGGAGACCGTCCTCGTCCCGCTGACCGACGCCAGCTTGGCCA